CAGCTCGACTATCTGAAGTGGTGTACATGTATTTTTAGTTAGTATAAGAAACGGTCATCTGATATTTTTAAACCATCTGATTTTGAGTATACTTCGTGTAGTTAAGAAATACGATACTTTCTAAACTTCCCTACGTTAAAAATGACTTCCGTTAATTAATAATAATCTACAAACAAACAAAAACTACAACTGATTTGTATGTATTTTCTTTGGATAAACTTGCATGACGAATCGTTTCTATTTGCCGAAGATTTAACATAAAGCTGTTGATAATTTGTTTTTATTAAATAAGGAAATTTACTGTAGTACAGCAAAGAATGTGTATGACATGTGACAAAGAAATTGAATTATCATGAATAATTATCCGATGTATTTTAATATTTACATTAAAATTGGCATAGTAGTCGAAATACCCCAAAAATACACGTACATCAGGGAGGTGTTTATGTACATAATTATGTAAAAGTCAGCGTCAAAGAGTGGTGCAATGTTATGCAAAGAAAGTCGCAGCAAATAAAGGCCAATTAATTGTCTGATTGTGTAGCTCTCGTTTGTTTAATATACAGGCGTCACGCTGTGCCGAATTTGGCATCAGATGGACACACGAATAAGGATATGTTCAAATTCGGATCTGATCGTAATAACATCGGGCCATTCGTGAAGGCATCTTTTGCCTTCGTATGACCCCTGGCTAAATTTTGCAGGCTCCGGCAGCAACTTCGTGAGCGGTCGCACAATTTTTGGTATGCAAAAAAATTGCCGGTAGACATTGCGAAGGTTTATTTTTGTGTTGAATTTGTATGCAGATTTTGCGCTCCAAAAGGCCGTCGTGAAGCCATCTTCATCGGTGCAATCTGGTATATTCCGCCTCAAGAAGACAATACGAAGGAAACACGAAGATTCCCGATCGTCTTAAAAAGGGAACATGACTACGTGAAGCCCCCGCAATACCGTCGTGTCGCCATCGTATTTTGGTACGATGTCATCGAGATGGCGGAGAAAGCAAATTTGAGTGGCTCAAGTGTTGCATGTTTATCATGGTGGACATATAAAAGGCTATCTTTCTCATATGTCAGTCTTGCACATCTCTACAGAGACATCAAAAGCCTCCATTATTTGCAATTAATTAACAATTATTTTCATTTTATTTCCTGCATAATTACATGATTTGATGATGAGTGAATCGAAGACAAAAAAAGAAGGCAGCAGCATTGCTACTTTTGAAAACGTCACAAAAGGTGAAATACGTAAAACACCGAAATGATCATGTAGAAACATATAAAAGAAAACCAATGACCATAACAAAAGTACTGAATATCTTATATGAAGACAGAGTAACAAGAAAATCACCTACAAGGGCCCGGCGAAGCAAGACAGAAGACGAACATTAAGGCAGTTCAGTCCCAAAGGGCTTTAAGGTCCATCATTAAGTCTCCCACTTGGCCCGTCAGATGTAATCAAAAGAGGAAGGAGTAGCGTGCAACTGTAAAAGTGTTGAACACTAAGCATGCGGTATACATGTATCTTAAAATAGTAGAGTCATAACCTCTTTTGGTAAAACATTTGATGACTTTAGTAAAGACAACAGAAAGATTACAATGACCCAAGATCTTACGAAGTTTGTAAATAACATCCCTGGCTAATCCCTTGTCGCAGAAGTGTTTTTAAATCACTATTAAATTTTGAGATTATATCAAAATTACGATTGTAAAATTTTCTAAAATATTTACGTTATACGTCGTACATGATAGCGGTAGCACTGTTTGAGTAGTTTGTTACCAGGTACGTATATTAATATACGTACCTGTTGTTACTTATAGATATATTTCGCTCGTTAAAATCCTTCACGTTGCTACAAGCTCTCGTTAAAATCCTTCACGTTGAGCACTACAAGCTCTTGCGAATCTAATTAACTGAGATACATATACCCCTAAGATGATACGTCTCCATCTAAATGTGGATACTTTAGTAAACCAAAATCAAGTCATATTATAGATTTTCTTGTAAATAGAATTGTTTTTTGATAGTAATATGAAGATTCAAAATAAAGTTTAAACGTGGTTTAGCTCCCAATACTATCTGCAACTGAAATTTGCCGTTGTTGGCCGAAGGTTTTATACCACACGTACGAACGCATCGTACGCAAAATACGAGGTCGTGTACCTATCCCGTGACCTTCGCGTGTTCTCCGGGTAACCTACTTGGTAAAAATTTGCATCTTTGTGGTGACTTCGTGTGTGTGGATTGGATGCCATCGCGTGACCTTCGGTAGGAATCGTGTAAGGATCGGATGCGATCGCGTGACCTTCTTTAGGCATCGTACTTGCTTCGGCTGTTGAGACGCTGTCAACCAGTTTCGGGACCATTTTTGCGCGAAGTTTAAAATTCCATATTCGTATGCCCATCTGGTGTCAATTTCGGGACAGTATGACGCCTGCAGCAGGATACTCAGGCAAATGAATGACAAAAATATCAAAATTATCTTATGTACTCAAATCACGCTAAAATGACATTTGTAAAAGTACAAGCATGAATTTAAGTATAAATTATATTTATTTTGAGTTTGAAGCGTAAATATATCTATATAATTATGTTGAACGAAATTTAGTCGCCGACAGAATCACCATGTACTTTTAAATCTAGTCATGTGACTTTAACAAACCCTGGAAGTTAAAATAACAGATATTATGGATATTGTATGATTGAAACAAACGTAAATCATTCATTTGACGTGTTCTTTAACGTTTTCCAGAGTTCACCGTCACAACTATGTGAAATGTGAAATCTTAACGCTCTAACCTGGCCCACGTGGGTCAAGTAAGGAAACCACAATTTCATTTTTTACAAGGAGAAAAGTTTTGTTCTATGACTGCCTAGTGTATATATTTTTGAGGACATTTACAGATTGATGAATGAAAAATTCAAAACGAGGAAATGAAAAGTTTGCCTGTGTCTCCCTTTCAACACAATGTATTTTTAACAAAACAACGTTAACTGAAAAATTTGTTGAAATGTTAAAATGAATGTGGATAGATGTGCGTTTGTTTGAAAACTTTAGAGCAGGTTATGATGGTATTACCATGGTTACAGGTAATTATCTTTGGTGCTCGAACTCGCAGGGTCTGAGAGATCGGTAGTTCGAGCCAATTAACAGAGGTTGAAATATTGTTATTAATGAGAAAATCGTATTTCACGGAGAACGTTGTCGCGAAAGTTATCAAATGGTATTGTATAGTTATTGTATGTTTCCATTCACATAAATATATTGGATATATGACAATCGTCACCCACTTGTTTTATTATGTATAAAAATACATCCTCTGCAGAGCAACACTTTAAAGCTACATTTAATAAATTTCATAAAAAACTAAATAGCGACATTTCATTAATAAATTGGGTTTTATATCGACTCCAGGTCTTATTTTGGTGTCCAGGCAACCAAAATGAGTTTTATTAGCATAAAAATGGGTAACCTCATTGTGGCGAAATGGGATGTACAATTTCTGTTTGCATGAGAAACTCCGCCTTCGGATCATCCGTACATCAATCTTGAATCAACAAACATGACTATAAGTAGCAGTCCTAATTTAACGGTATATTTCCGCATTGTAACGGATGTTTTCATACAAATTTAATCTTTGTACGAGATGATTACTTTCACTCAACCGTGCACCGTGAAGCTAAAACGGTTAAAGTGTGTTTGCACAAGAAAATATCATATTTGCCGGATAGCAACTTTAAAACTGTGACGTAGAGCATACACGAGCTGATTATAGTCTTCATTTGCATGTTCAAATTCGTATACGAACTTTAGTGTTACCGTGGGGTTTTCCGCTTAAAATCCTAATTTATGAACAATTTTTGATGAAATTTACAACAATACTGTGAAACAGGTTAATGAAACTATAGAATGTTTGATTTTTAGGCCGACGGCAAATTTGTTTTTACATATTTATTTAATGTAGCTTTAATGGAAGACGAAACAAATTGTCGTTGCTGAGACGTATTGCTCTAGAGAGGTTAAATGTATTGTGAGATCTTTCTTTGCGTATTAAAGAAGGTACTTGCTTTACAGGGGCAGGTCGGGGGAGGTTACGCTGCGTGTAGCCTATTAATTTTACATACTACATTTGACAAATATATAATTATATAAAGTGATTTTTTCTAGTATTAAATGTTCTGCTAGGATACAATTTTAACGATAAGTTTATGTGTCTATAAGCAAGGTATGGTTCTAAAACAAAATGTAAAGAATATAGTACTTATCATTATAATTCAAAATATACAGGACAGTTCTAAAATAAAATGTACAGGATAGTTCTTTAACTTTCTAGTTAAATTCCTAAGATATTCAAGTTCTGTTCCACCAAACTTTCTCCCACAAAACATTTTACACTGGGATCAGATCTCATTTCATTTTTTCCTTTCAACGTTTTAATCAATTAATATATATTTGGTTATCACACGGGGCAATAATCATCATATGAAGTACACGCTATAAGATATTTTTAACACAATTTGGAAATGTTCAGGATTCCGATACATTAAATTAAATAAACAAACAGTACAGTTTTCTATAATTCAAAATCACCTTTCAAAAATAGACCATATAACACTCAGTGATATTTTTTTGAACAGGTAATTATTTTTTCTTTTCTGAATTCATTTCAAAATGTACTCGTAGAATATTGTTTTCTGCTCTTTGTGCTGTTTGAAACAGATAATTATGTCCTTCCACTACCCGCTATAATTGTGTTCGTGGGGCAATATGGACTTACAGTTAAATCGACCCGTTTATGTTAAAGCGAAATTTTCAATTAATTAATAACTATCTTTTATCCATAATAGGATATTTCACAAACTTTTATGGCGGTTTGATTAATTTTGGGGCCGATTTGACTACTTTTGGGGCCGATTTGACAACATTTGGGGCCGATTTGACTTGTTTGCGAAACATGGCAAGCTGCTCGTGTGTATTGTCGTAATAACCAATACAAACACAACTTTTCTTATGGTTTATTATTTCTTTAATCCTAGACAGATACACAACACATTTGATAAGAATCGATTATTAAACATACATGCCTTAACTTATTTATATATTTTGATTACCGATATTACTTTCATGGTTATCTAAAGACTTGTACAAAGCGTTTTCAAGGTCAAGATAGCGCGGATCATCTCCAAGTCCATTGATAGATATATAGTTTGTTATATACATAAAGCCGACCTTATTTGTCGCGTCCGCCATGCCAACTTGACCTCCGTGGCCGGAATGGCCAAACATCAGTTGACCCTGGAAAATATAGACTTAATGGTTAAATAGTATAAAATAATAAATATGTTTTTTTCGAAATAATTACAATAAATGAATTTGATAGTTCATCGGTGTCACTTTTTTGAAACTCGATATAGAAATACATTTGTATCTAAAACATTGTATTGACGTTCCATTTTCTGCATGGCTTATTACCATATCTTCTTTTCTACCTTTGACCACTAAGAGGTGCATTTTAAAGTGAATTGGTCTACAATGGCCACACTTTCCGCAAGTAGTTCAAATATTGATTAAAACAATAGAAATGTATCGTTTTATCGTGATAATCTTATAGAAATATTTCTGTAATACAAAATGTTGGAAGAGTTGTTAAGTGATTTTTTATGAACATATTTATGACGAACAGTAATTTTTGTTATAGAACATTTTATTATCTGCTATATATTGATATGTCAAATCGGATCATATATCTAACTTCTACCAACAATATCCATACATAATTCTTTCGTGGTTTCTTGTCACATATGATACTTAATACTATCATCATAATTATGTATGGTATTAGACGTATTCCATTATAGACCAATTCACTTTAATAGGAATTATATATCGAAAATAGGTTTCATCTATATTGCAAATTAAATACACGTGTTAAAACAGTTGATCTTTTTATCAATGAAACAACGCAGTTCTACATTACTTTTGGGTTTTTCATGATCACCGTTCCTGGGCCAAACATGGAGTTTTCTTGCTTTATAACACTATCAGTTCCTTGTGACAGAGGCGTGGCTAGTTTCTTAACCAGCTCCGCGTTCAGTAGTACCTTATTCTCTGCAGTGCCACCATTTGCAAGTATCCCATACAATTTACCTAATCCCTCCGCAGTAGAGGTAACTGTGGCCGAAGTTAATGGCACCTCGCGTAAATCTGGGTTGTTGAACACTGACATATCCTAGAAAAATGTAATAAGGGGCATAAATAAGGTAATTATAAATGGGGAATCGTATTTGCATATTCGACAATAGAACAGCCATTATACCAATTGTTTCAACTGTTTGAAAGGTTGAAGGGGCGATATTTTATTTAGAGGGCATGTATACTAATAAATTACTAACCATTCGCAACCAGAACGGTCATTTGATTTGAATCTTTGACGTGATACTAAAATCGTAAAACGTATTTACAGTTCATGTAGTTTGATTTGTTTGCCTCCTGCTGAGTAAAAAGTATTCCAAGAAAGTCAAATTGAGAAAAATGCAGTAAGATTTTAAGAACAAAGATTCAAGATCCAAAAAATAATTTACATGTTATGTGGGATTAATGACTAATTTTATAATATTTATTACCATATTTTATTGCGTGACTAACGCAATAAGACCTATATTTTAGCATGCGTTTGGCCTCTTTTTTTGTAAGTGCCGTTTGGAATGTATAAATCAATTACTGTCTCTGTTCACTTCACATTATTTTCATTTTTAAATACATTTTTAAAATTTTCATTAAAATTGGCATCAATCTGCAGCTGGAGGCTTGCTACGTTAAAGATGTTAAAATATCGAAATCTATTATCATAATGATACTGTTGTTTATTAAACAATTTAAAATTGAAATAATTATTCAAGCGTTGTATATACCGATAATACATATATTATTTAATATATATTATAATTATATGAAGGGAACGACAAAACCTATACCATACCTTAGTAAATTCGACGACGGCCTTCGCAACATTTACTAACAAAGAATCTGGGAAGAGAATATAATGGCCGAGAATAGGAAAGTATCGAGTTGACATCAGTGTCTCGAGCAACATTTCCCACATTGGCTGGGTGTAGAGACGAGCAGCTCTATAATATTCACTTTTAGGTGTATTTATAAACGTGTCAAGTTCTAAAACGACAAAAAGCGACAAAAATATCAAATGCATATATATGCATATATACATATATGCACTAAGAATGTGACATGTTCTGAAATGACAAATGAAATATGAAAAACAAATTAAAAACTGTATTTAATGTGACTGATGCATAGTTGCGGAAACAAATAGAACAATTATTAGACGCATTTCTTTTTCTTTTTTAGAAATTTATTCAAATTTGTATTACAGTCGTGCGGAAGAGGTCAAATATTTCACATACATGCCAACAGATTGATTACAAAGACGTAAATAAACATAATAAAGCAGCATAAAATTATCACTTCTGAGACAGCATTGCATATTTTCTTTCCTAACTCAAATAAAATGCAATTTCTAATAAAAACAAAAGAGTAACTATGTGAGCTTTAATGTCCAATTTATGTTGTCACCAGACCAATGAGTAAATGTACATACATTGTACATGTACTTACCGAATGGCCCAGCAATTTCCTCACGGAAAAACCGAGCAATATCTCTCCCTTTTGGATCCGCCTTCCTAACCAGGGTATCCACATAAAGACCATACGTCACTCCATGATAACCAAAGTCTGTTCCTATAATTTGTAAGTTTTCCATCATTACTATTATAAATATTTATTCTCTTACAAAAAGGATCATTTAAAAGAAGTTAATTTAAAAAAAATTAAACCACTTTCGTCCAATCATCTATATCTTCAAGGGTCATAAATCATGGTTCTATTTTTCCTATTATAGAAATTCTTTGCAATGGCCGTAGCCTAGTACAGAGCTTTCGTGAGGAAAATGATGAATTTAAGATTCACAACGGAACCGTCAATTAATGATACAAAAAACAAAAAATGAAACCAAACAAAACAGGAGGCAGATCCCCGCGTGCTGCTTTCGCATTACCACATGGTTCTCGGTTAGACAAGGTTTCTAATTTTGGCTAATCTAAACAAATACCTTACGGGTTTTTTTCACATATTGACCAAACACCTTATACATGTAATGCTAATTTTGAATCATTCCTTCAAAAAAGTTTTGGAGTTATCAGCTCGTTTATGCCAATGATTTCAGTTAATTTCAAAGAACAAATATAAATAGGAACGACAACAGACGGACAGACAAAACAAAAACGACAACAACAAAAAACCGCAAGCAAGTAGACAGATGTTGTAACAAGACTTAAAGTGTCTCAGAATTAACAGCTACAAAATATCTTTTCATTTATTGCAAAAACAGAAAGAGAGGCGAATTAGGTGTATGAACAGGGGGACTGGCGGTAAATGGGCGGACGTACAGACAAACTGAGACGCAGACAAACACTATATAATTTGCTTCAAGACAAAACAAACAGAAAACACTATATAGTATCGAAACTTTTAAACTATACTGTCAGCATGTCTTTGTTTACACACAAGAAAGTAAAATAAAATGTACATTTTAATTTGTATCAGATAATCCGACAAAAAATAACTATACACTCCGAATAAAGCTCCTCGTCAGGATTTTGGCACTATTCTGTGAAAAGCACCAAAGAAGAGATCCCCGGGGAGCTTTGTATGGCAACAACTAGTAATAGTGCACCCTTTGGGGTTCAAATCGAAAGGATGACACAACTGTTGCAATTACAGTCTGTTAATACTATTTACATTTGTACAATAATGACGTGTATCAAAACACAATTAAAAATTGTGGAGTTCCCATTGTGCATTGTACTGTGAAAAATCGTTACATAATTAAAACAATACTTGAAGGGAAAACTTGAATACCTGCAGGCCAAACTGTGCCTTGTGCGGCCAAAACCCGCTCAACTTTATCAGGATTGTCGACAATATCCCGAAGATGTAAATACTCGTCAAGCAGTGGTAGACCTGCCTAGAAAACGAAACAAAAATAAAACAATCAGCGCTGTTATAAACATAGTACTCAATATGATCATCATAGTTTTTAGCTCGAGCTAATGCAATCACCCATTTGTCGTCGTCCCTGTGGTTAAGTTTTTGCGTGTAAACTTGTATCTCCATAACTACTGAAGGGAATGGAACTTCACACACTTGTTCTTCAGTATCTAACATGATTGGCACAAGCTCCATAGCTCTGATTTGCTTTTTTTTTGCATAATTATGCCCCCTTTTCGACTTAGAAATTCTTGGTTAAGTTTTTGCATGCAAGCTGGTATCTCTATACTACGGAAGGTAATGGATTGAAACTTCACACACTTGTTATCTGTGATTATCTAACATGATTGGCCAAGTCCCATAACTCTGTTTGCTTTTTTGCATAATTATGTCCCCTTTTCTACTTAGAGATTTTTGGTTAAGTTTTTGCGTGCAAGCTGGTATCTCCATAACTACTGAAGGGAACGGATTGAAACTTCACACACTTGTTCTCTGTGTTTATCGAACATGATTGGCATAAGTCCCATAACTCTGATTTGATTTTTTGCATAATTATGCCTTTTTTCGACTTAGAAATTCTTGGTTAAGTTTTTGCATGCAAGCTGGTTTCTCCATAACTACTAAAGGGAATGGATTGAAACTTCACACACTTGTTCTCTGTGATTATCTAACATGATTGGCACAAGTTCCATAACTCTGATTTGCCTTTTTGCATAATTATGCCCCTTTTTCAACTTAAAAAATCTTGCTTAAGTGTTTGCTTGCAAGCTGGTATCTCCATAACTACTTAAGGAAATGGATTGAAACTTCACACACTTGTTCTCTGTGATTATTTAACATGATTGGCACAAGTCCCATAATTCTGGGGGGGGGGGGGGGTGGTCATAATTATGCACATTTTTCGGCTTAGAAATTCTTGGTAAAATTTTTGCTTGTAAGCTGGTATCTCCATAACTACTGAAGGGTTTGTGTTTTTTTTAACGGTTTTATGCATTCATAATAATAAAGCAGTGATTTACTCGATAAAACATCTTAATAACAAGCCTTTGTACTTTTTGGGACAATTTTATGTATTCATATAGGTAGCATTAGTATACTCAATGAAACAAACTTTGTTTCCAGAATTTTGTGACAACTTTTCGAATAGTCGAGCGTTACTGTCCTCTGACAGTTCTTGTTATAATTATTGTTCTTATCTTAGTATGACTGATATTACTTTATTATGGTTGTTTTATTATTATCTTCATCTTCAGCGTCAACATTACTGTTTTATCATTATCATTTATCATTTATACTTTATTTTTTAAAATATATTTATATTATATTACATGAATAACAAGATTTTACAACATATTTTAGGTCAGATCAATGCGACTAGCACCTTTGATTACCATCATCATTTTTATCACCGCCATCATCATCATCATCATCCGCAGCAGCAGCATCCTAGCAATCCTCCTCTTCCTTATCATCATCATTCTCTTCAATCATCATCATTATCATAACAATCATCATCATCACTATTATTATAACTATTGCTACCAAAGTCAATTACTATTAGTGTCGTAATCATCATCATCATCCTCATCATCATCATCACGACCATCATCATTATTAATACTACTAGAGTCTATACTATTGTTGTTATTGTCATCATCATCATCATCATCATTATCATAATCATTAGTATAATTTTAGCAAGGATTGTGGATATTTACTCCTGCAAATGATATAAATAAAATAAATTAGCTATATCAAAATTAAAACCTTTTACCAAATAAATCTTACTTGGTGACTCAGCAGCATTTCTACAGTGATGTTTCCTTTATCCTTCTGTCCAAACTCTGGCCAATAGTCAGCAACAGGACGTTTGTAGTCTAAATATCCTCTATGTGTGTTTGAAATTATAGAAATATATAACTTGTTATGACCTAAAGTGTGTTATTTTGGTTTATACAGAATTTATTTTAGTTTGATTGTGTCGGAAGCTATAAGCCTATGGACACACTTTCGAATCCGTTCCAGGAACCGACCAGTATTGTGCAATGAGTGTAAAGTTTCTTGCTCAAGGAAACAACGACTTGCCCATAACGGGTTTGAACCAAGGCGGATAGCTTGAAGAATTAGTGTGAAGAAATGCGTTATTTTGTCAAAATTGTAAAACAATTTTTGAAAAGATCATTCGTTATTGATGCGTAGTTATAATGTAAATAATGATTTGTATTGAATCCTGGATACGGATATAAAGATGAAATTATGAAGATGGTCGGCCAACATTATAGAACCTGGCCAGACAGTTTGTTTGAATGTAAAGGCTGGCATTTCTTTATACTTGTGGCAAAGTATGAACAACTCTGGCAGAAGTATGACTAATTCTTTAAGACATTGTTAACAGTGTTGGTATCAATACTTTTATAGCAGATGGTGATCGTCCGTTATTTCTTATGAACTAAAGTAATATCGTATTGCGTATAAAAGATATAGCTCAAAAACCATTAAAATACTTACAGGTCTACCATTTTCGCTACAATAACAGCGGCTACCCCTTTCGACGCAGAGAAAGCCATAGTAAGTGTGCTCTTATCCCAAGGTCGTACAGCTTCGTTATCCGCATAACCGCCCCACATATTGAACACGCACTGGCCCTTGTGGAAGACCGCAAATGAACCTCCTCGTTCCTTTCCATTTAGTAAGTTTTGTCTGGATGAAAATTCATATATAAATGAGCCGTAATAATAACCAACATAATTGGTTTGCGCAGTCTGATCAGGATCCATGCTGTTCGCTATCAGTTTCTCTACTTAAAATAGAGTTGGTAAGCGAACAGCATGGTTCCTGATCAGACTGCGCGGATGCGCAGGCTGGTCTGGATCCATGCTGGTCGCAAACGCACTATGTTGGTTTTGTCGTGACGCGGCTCAAATGATATTGAATTGCAATGAAATTCGTATAATTGTTTGAAATAGTAGAGAGGGCTAGACGACGTTGACAATATTCAGTTATCCTACGAAACTGACTATCAAATAGTTACTATAACAGATGCTTATAGTCTGATATTTCACACATTTGACCTTTATTAAAGAGACTCCACTGATGTGTTCTGACATAACGGGAATGGAAATAATATTTCGAGATTAATGTTTCATTTGATGTAGGTGCAAAATTTCAGTTCATTAGCTGACCCCGTTTTTTTCAGAATAATTATTCATATCGTGAAAAATGACCGAAAAACGAAAAGCGTTGCAACGCTTTTCACACAAATCGGGCTGAGAATAGCACAACACTATGATTATCAATTTATTTTAGAGTATTTCCTAATTACCTTTTGTACGTATTTCTGTAAGTGCCCAACTGATCCATGAAGGAAATCCAATTTTACGTAACTAGGCTTTTGGTCCTACTTTATATATGTGCATTTTTTGTCACAATTGATTAGTTAAAACGACTAAATAAGCATGAGGTAAAAACAGTGCTTTGCTTTAATACTTCTTTTTCAAATAATCAAAAGAAATCATAATTGGCGATAGTGAATACTTGTAGCCTAAGTTGTTTTTTGTGTGTGTACTAGAGCCATACATACTTGTGGTTGGCTATACTGCAGCTACTCAACAACCGCTTTTATTCTGATATTCCAAGAGTTTTAATATAGCAATATTAACTTATTTTCAGAGATTACTTAAAACAGCTGCTGATGAATGATAGCATTAAACATATTTAAAACAGCGGCTGGTGAATTATGGCATTAAACATATTTAAAACAGCCGATGATGAATAATGGCATTAAACATTTTTGAAACAGCTGCTGATGAATACTGGCATTAAACATATTTAATACTGCTGCTGATGAATAATGGCATTAAGCATATTTAAAACAGATGCTGATGAATAATGGCATTAAACATACTATCACCAGCCTAAAGTATCGCTGTAATAATGTATCCCCTTCCTCAAGACTCGAACTTGTCTGTCGACACCAAGTCTAAGCTCCTCCTTCTGCATTGTTCTGAGTGAATCTAGCGAGCTGTGATGATAAAGAGTATATAGATGTATTTAAAAAAACAACAACAAAAGCATATATATACATGAATATACTTGCCTGAATACATCTGCAACCGGTTTAAATTCAGGATGGTAATACCCATCAAAAACTAAAGGTTTTTTCTCCTCAAATGTTCTCCGCAGAAAGTAAAACGTTACTAGCACAAAACATAATGTTAGTCCATAACTTAATATTCCCATAGCGGACATAAATAAACGTCGATTTAAATGGGGAATAGCAATGTGTATTTATGTTCACTATTGTATAATTCACAAAAATGGTAACCACACGTTTATTTTGCTTTGTTTTGCTTGGAACAAAATGGCTTATCTGTTACATCATCAACTTTTTGACACGTAGGAAGTCATATGAAAATAATAACTCGCTGTTATTAATAGTACAAAATATAAATTTCCCCTTTAATTTGAATAATGTTACTAATTTTTATATCTGTTTATAAGTGCAGCCATCCTGTTAATCTGGAAAGTTGTTTATTTTCGGTTTCCTCAGTATATACTTGTATACTTTATGTACATTTCTTAAAAAAATGAACAAATCTCACAATCTGAAAGGCACAGCATACTCGACATACGCAGTAGGATGTGATAAAGCAAATTTCATATATAAATCAATGACTTTATGTGATATCGTTAAGATAGTAGTACATATACATGTGACCATCAAATTTTATCAATTTATATCTGAATGGTTTCAAGCTAGGCCATGTAGGCCAACAAAGGAAACTGGTCACAAGATATATAGGCTTGTAATCAAGATAGGCCAGTAACGAGAACACCGTTGTCTAAATGACATGGTACAAAATATCGCCGCGTGTGCGCTAAATAATAATGTCATTTTAATCACACAGAGCCATATCCTGTGTCATAAGTCTATGACAGTTGTCAGACATCGCAATTTGTTATGTCAGTTGTGCAGTAAATAAAAAAATGCAGCAGTACTACTTATATCGCGTAGACATGTGTGGTTCAGACAAAACCTTCCGCTACATCCGTCCCTGTCTTCTGTTTATAAAAAACCTTTTAACAAAAATGGAGCATCCAACGTAATAAAAAAAATCATTGAAATCAGCTCCTGTTTAACGGTACATGCAAGAAATAACTTAAGTAGATCTAGATCTGATCTTAATTCAGATTGAAAACTGTTTAGTTTATACAAATTTATTTAGTTTGATTGTGTTGGAAGCTATAAGCTTATTGAAACACTCTCGAATCCGTTCCCGGAACCAACCAGTACTAAGCAATGAATGTAAAGTTTCTTGCTCAAAGAAACAACGGCTTGCCCCTCTGACAGGGTTTGAACCCACGCGGTCAGCAATCCTTAGATTACTAATCCGACGTGTTAACCACTCGGCCACCGTTTTAAACTGTTCAAAAAACACTGAAAACTGTTTTATAACCATTTCCAGACGAATAAAAACCCAGTTACCTTAAAGTCTGAATAAATTATCGAGTACTGGTGGTATTAAACGAGATTTTTTTTTTAATTCGCGTGGAAATTCAATCAAACAAAGTTTATGATTGAGCCAAGTGTCCTGATGTGGCTGAGCAAGGAGGGTGACGGTTGGACCCCTCCCCCCTCCACCTGTGTTTGTGAATAAAATTCAGCAACCGACTGTAAGATTGTAAGATGCAGCCTATTTTTACTGAATACAATTTGATAATTGTGTAAACTTGGAAATTTAAACGACCCTTATTACAAACAAAATTTAAGTTTCAGATTTGTGCTTTGACATAATGCAAGTCACATATTATGCCTCAGAAAGGGATAAATGTTTTCTTCTAAAGACTGGGCAAACATGAATTTCACAACGTTTTAAATTGTTCTAGGGGTGCTAGTGGCGAGTACCCGAGAAAGTAATGTACTAAATTTCCATACAAAATCACTATACATTTTCAGTTTATATTTTCGTTCGTTTATGTCTACAAGCTTACTGAACACTCAAACACATTCTTTGAACCAACTAGTACTAAGCAACGAATGCAAAGTTTCTTGCGCTCAAGGAAACAACAGTTTGGGGCATAATGGGCCTTTAAAATACATAAGAACAGTTATTTGAAAGCATGGTCTATGGGTTACAAATGACCTGGCTCCCTTTTACATTCACACTTAAACTGCTAAATGTCTTATAAGAACTTGTTCTGATTTGAATTTGGAACAGTCCATTAAAAGTTTAAGGGATTTCAATATAAAAATTGATCTATAATTTGTATACAGCCTGGTAAGATTGCGGCGATGTGCAAGATGGCCTGCTTCCATACTAGTAATGCAGGCTTATCGATTTCAATTCCAGCAAGTTAAGCGTTAAACATTAAACAAATGTCCTATGACAATTTTAGCTTAAAGTCTGAGTAATTATTCAACCTATAACTTTAAAATGTATGACAGTTATTTTGCTTACATGTGTGCAGGATGATCAGAAACAAATTTTCAATATGTTTTAAAGCAAAAAAGTTTCAGTTAAGTCTTGTAGTAGAAAACCCAAAATCGTAAGTTAAAAAGAGGCCTCTTTTGGATAAGAAACATATCTTCAGTTCGTCAAAAAGGGGCCAATCAAATTCATATGAGCAAATTTGATAAAAGACTACCTAAGAATGATACACACAAATTTTAATGATCATCCACCAATTAATTAAGTTGTAGAAGATGTTAAAAGGTTTTTCTACCTTTAGTTTTGTTGACCCCTAAAAAGGGCCAATTGAAATGACATGAGCAGATTTAAGTGTGACTGTTACAAGGATGCTACAGACCAAATATGAGGTAAATCTGCCTAGCAGTTTCAGAGATGATTGTTCGCATGACGATGGACGACGGAGTATCCCCCTTTGATACTAATAGCTCATCCTGAACCTTTGGTTCTGGTGAGCTAAAAAAAACAGCAATTATAAATCATTTCATACTCAAAGCAACGTCACAGTGAGTTAAAAAAAATTCCAGAATCCTTTAAATGGTCAAACAAAATACAAAGAATTGATCTTTAAACAATTTTTTATTTGCATGAGAACATGAAGCATGAATAGCACTTTATGCATGAGCAAGTTTATTTCTTTTTCTTTCAACCAAATTTCACCATAATGAAATGTTCTTACAAAAAGCAATCTTCTTAGAAGCAAGGTTTTCTTTTAAACAATTTTAAAAAGGTTTTTTACACATATGTTGGGAAACATAGCATTTGAAACAATTAAATTGTATAATGAGACATTGGAAATTACTGAACCTTTAATATCACTGTTAACACTCTTTATTGAATGACATATAAACTTGCAAAGTTTTATGGTCCTTTCAATTTTATGGTTTATTCAAATTATTTTCTCATAAGATACAGTTTGCTAAAGTTATTTCAGATCAATCCCTTCTAAGAGGGAATCTTTCCACTTGGACACCATCTTTAGTTATGATATTTACAACAACTTCATCCCCTGTGTATATGTCACGCTCTGCTGCCGAGATAAAGCCATCTTTCACTGTCTTCACTACTTGCTCCTTTGAAAGCTTAACACGAGCTTCTTTAGGCAGGTTTTTAAATCCAACCTGGAGAGAAAAATTGGCAAGTAGGTAAATTAATCAGGTTGTATCCGCATATAAAGTTTCAATGAAATAACAAAATTTCTTGTTCACATTTTGGGGGACAAAATATGGCCCCTTTCAATGAGCCAAAACGTTGATGAAAATTCACAATTAATGCTTGCTAATTTTCACAATTCAAAGGACCGTGAACCCATAATGCTATTCACAAAAGACTGGGCAAAAACACTAAATAGTTTTGACAGTATTTAATTAAATAATATTGAGCAAAATCTTAACAAAAAGAATAACATTTGCCATCAACAATAAGACTACAGGGTATCACATTAATCTATTTTAACAGGTCCAGTCATTTTCAGAGCAAAAAAAACATTAAAAAATTCAATAACAAGTGACTTAAGTTAGTATAAGAACAAGAGCTTAGATCTTGATAGTAAAACAAGAACCTGGATTATGTAGGATTTTCCAAGTTCAAAAGGGGCTATAATTCTTAATTCAAAATCCAAGTTAGAGTTATGTCCTTTGTACAGTAACCACCTTTTATGCTCTCAAATAAGTATGTTAAGTATTAACCCATTCCCTTCAACATCCTTTGAGGTACTATCTTGCATGCAAAAGCTTAAACTAAAGTGTTAAAAAATGGAAAAAAGTTACAAAACACATGAATATGCCCAAGATAGATTAACATGAGGGCCATGATGGCCCTGAGGTCGCTCACCTGTATATAGCCCCCCACCCCCCGGGCCAATTTTTACCCAAGGGCTTTTATTTGTTTATTTGAACAGACTTGGTAGACACCCATAAGAAGATGTTTCATGCTAAACATCTAAGTTCTAGCTCATTGGGTTTTTTTAAAAGAAGATTTTTAAGTTTTTGCTATACACATATAAGGAAATTCAATGACCCCCTGGGCCCGTTTTGACCCCAGGGCTTTTATTTGAACAAACTTGGTAGACACTCACTAAAAGATGTTTTATGCCAAATATCTAAGCTATAGCTCTTTGGGTTCTTTAAAAGAAGATTTTTTAAGTTTTTACTAAATGCATATAGGGAAAATCTATGACCCCCTGGGGCAGGGCCAATTTTGACCCCAGGACTTTTATTTGAACAAACTTGGTAGACACTCATTAGAAGATGTTTCATGCTAAATATCTTAGCTCTAGCTCTTACAGTTCTTTAAAAGAAGATTTTTTAAGTTTTTACTATATGCATATAGGGAAAATCAATGACCCCCTGGGGCGTGGCCAATTTTGACCCCAGGGCTTTTATTTAAACAAACTTGGTAGACATGCACTAGAAGATGTTTCATGCCAAATATCTAAGCTCTAGCTCTTACAGTTCTTTAACAGAAGATTTTTTAAGTTTTTACTAAATGCATATAGGGAAAATCAATGACCCCCCCGGGCGGGGCCAATTTTGACCCCAGGGCTTTTATTTGAACAAACTTGGTAAACACTCACTAGAAGATGTTTCATGCCAAATATCTTAGCTCTAGCTTTTTGGGTTCTTTAAAAGAAGATTTTTTAAGTTTTTACTATATGCATATAGAGAAAATCTATGACCCCCTGGGGCGGGGCCAATTTTGACCCCAGGGCTTTTATTTGAACAAACTTGGTAGACACTCACTAGAAGATGTTTCATGCCAAATATCTTAGCTCTAGCTCTTTGGGTTCTTTAAAAGAAGATTTTTTAAGTTTTTACTATATGCATATAGAGAAAATCTATGACCCCCTGGGGCGGGGCCAATTTTGACCCCAGGGCTTTTATTTGAACAAACTTTATAGACACTCACTAGAAGATGTTTCATGCCAAATATCTTAGCTCTAGCTCTTTGGGTTCTTTAAAAGAAGATTTTTTAAGTTTTTTACTATATGCATATAGGGAAAATCTATGACCCCCTGGGGCAGGCCAATTTTGACCCCAGGGCTTTTATTTGAACAAACTTGGTAGACACTCATTAGAAGATGATTCATGCCAAATATCTAAGCTCTAGCTCTTAGGGTTGTTTAAAGGAAGATATTTAAAGATTTTCTTCAGTTGCCATGGCAACCAGAGTTCTGTATGGAATTAAATTCTTTGAACAATCTTTAAAGGTGACCACCAAAGGAACATTCCTGTGAAGTTTGGATGAAACTGGCTCAGTGGTTTATGAGGAGATGTCATTTAAAGCAAAAGTTTACGGACGGACGGACGGCCGGACGCCGGACGAAAAGAGATCACAAAAGCTCACCCTGTCACTTTGTGACAGATGAGCTAAAAAGAATGGCCTTTATAGACAGATGGTATATTATAGACATACCTGATTATCCATAAGTGGTTGTAACATGGAGCTAGCTGATCCACCAGCTCTAAATGGCTCGCGTTCATATGATCCTACTGGGTCAAAACTGTAAACACATCCTTTACCTGCAAAACACAACACACAAAATACAGTCATACACTAAGTGTCCTATGTCATCTACATGTATCTACAGGTACATAACAATACACCATGCGTACTTTACTTCAAAAAAATGTTTTATCTCTTCCACAAAACTCATTATCTCAAAACTTAATTCTTAAATCACAACACGATATAAATTAAACTATAAATATTTTCTCCCTTCCATTTTTCAGACATATACTTCAGTATTAAGATTTCTTTTGCACATTTGTATAACATGATATTTAATGCTCTATCTAATGCAAAAATGTGGTTACCTTCATCATCAATTCCAGCTACGATATTGTAGACATAGTATGGAAAGAATCGTCTGTAGTAGAGTATGGTAGATAACATTGCTGCCACCGCTGTACTACTCATATCTTTGTTGTGTTCATGGAGGTACATCTAAAATTACAAAAAAATATATATAAAAAATATCATTCTTTACAAATTACAGTCTCCACTTATAACTATAATTTACGATATCACTTATATCAATATACTGCATAACGATGCTGTTGCAGCAGTCCCGACTCTAGTTTTCAAATTGATTGCCTCTGACTCTCGGATATAATGATATGTTAAAAATAGAAATAAATTGTACTGTATATTTTTATAAAAGAGAAACATAAAAAAAATGTCAGGAAAAATATATGTATAAATGTGTGCTGAATCTTGTAAATGGTGGTCATTGTTATTTGCCTGAGTAAACTCATTCATGAGACCAACCCGTTATAATGTCCAGATTTGCAAACTCTCTTAAGTGGCATTCATACAACAATATTTCAAAGATATTACTGAATTTGATGATATACGTGATATTGTATGTTTCAGTCAATGCGATAAAATATACACTATGTAAATGGAGATTTAAAAATAATTGACATGTATATTGTATACAGCTAAAATCTACTTCTTTTTAATAACTAACAATATTTGTGGCAACGTGCTAGTGCTAAAGTTTTCAATTAACACAAAAGCTTAATTAAGCTCTGTAAAAAGTATTTTGCTTAACCATATAATGTATTTTTGTCTATTTCTGATACATATTGTGCATTTATTTAATTTACTAAGAATGAAGTTTTTAAAAGTAAGGAAGGTGCACAATGACCGCAAGTAATTATTTGAAACCACAATGAGCTGATACAAAATAATATCATAGTGAAAAAGACTATTTCTTTGTGCCAGACTTTAAATTGTATTTTTGTTCTGGCTGTTGTAAATCAACCACTATAAAACCACTGAAATACGAAACAAACCTTTGCTGCACAAATATTTAAGCATTACCTTTATCCTAGCTTTAAGTACTTTGATTAGTGTAAGAACATCTCCATGGAAACCACAACAGCCAACCACTGTGTTGTTTGTAAGCTTATAAGTTTTAGGCTGGTCCCTTGTGTGAATGGAGAACCCTTCGCTAAGCCGCGAGTCTGAAGCTATAACTGCAAAATCTTCACCAGCAACCGCTAGAATTGACC